TCGTACCGGCTTCAAATGTTAAATAATATATACAAGTCATGTTTGCGATATACAAGCGTACTGGTATGTATTTATGCGGATTTCGTTCTGCGACTTTTATAGAAACGTGATCATTTTATATTATAATACTGTACATAAATCTTTCCAACACGTAAAGAACAATATTAATCAATTGTGATTATTGTAATACGCAGATGTACATTATTAAGACATAGTATTTGTTAGGAAAGTTTAGCGTCTCATTTCGATTTTAATTTCTGAGATCGGTAGTAATAATAAGTGCATGTAAAAAAGATTGTAAAATATTTATTACACGTTCAGGTAGATTTATTTCTTATGTCCCGCGAGAGTTTACTCGATGAAATATGTAATTATGATAGTTTTGTTTTCTGTAAAATACAATGTTTAAATCGATTTATGAATTATCATAATAATTTTTAACGAGAGTCTTATAGTGATTATTATACCCTCGTAATCTCTTGATACTTTTTACATAGCTATGTATATTGCATTGTATAATTTAGTGATCATGAATACGATTTATTAAAAACATTTCTATAAACATTTTTTCATTGTTATCAACGCAAGATCTTTAATTTCATACGATTTTACCCGATGTGTTTCACTCAATACGTTCCCGAATCCAATCCGTTGTGAAAAGTTGCATGATAAACGTTTGAAATTGTTGTGTATGTTTTAAGTATAATAACAATAATAAATAAATCCGAACACGTGTGGCGTATTATATTTTTAACAATTCTATACTTGCGAGCAGGAAAAGCATAAAACATTTTTCTGTATGTACAAGCTCAACGTTATTTTAGTTAACAATTAAAAAAACATAAAAATATATGTATAAATTAGTATGCAGCTTACGTGAAAACCCACCAGTGTTTAATTCTCGACGCAGATTACACTTATGAAATCTGACCCAAATTTTATTTCCTACGCGATTTACAATGAACAAATGAAAAAATACAACAAAAAAAAAGGTACCGTATTAGCATAACATTTACAATTGGCCACTTGGTGCACGCAGTTTATTATTGTAATGTGTATTACAACTTACAAGAAACATCTCCATAATAGGGTGAAATATATTATATGTTTAACAACACGTTCACTATAACTTCAATGCGTTTGTAGCATCATATAATAACACAAACTAGACAAATATTGATAGTTCAACTTGAATGTAATTAAAATACTAAAACGCAAATCAAATACATTTATGTGATATGTCATGTGATGAGCATAAATCTATCATAATGAAATAAAAAGTGAAAAAACGTCTTTAGAAAAACTGTAGCTGATTAATTATTTTCTCGGTAACCTGCAGGATATTCCAGCTTAAAAACTATCAATTATCTGATTTATGTTTTGGTTTTATATTTCAACGAGTTATCAGTACTGTTCGAGACATATAAAGTACTCTAGTAAGAAAATTTCAATTATTTTAACATCTAAAAATAAATTTTCCAAACGGAAGTTTTTTTTTTATTAGTTTAAAGTAGTGTTTTTATTTTTTTTTTAAAAAAAAAAAAAACATTCCATACTATCTGATTATTTTCACAAATTGCATCTTAATTAAGAAATGTTTAATGTAGTTTTTTAATCAAGTATGAAATAATAAATATAAAAAAATATAAAAACATATAAAATAAGTTCTTATAATTCTGTGTTTTATGGTTTATTGTATCATATATGTAATTTTTCTCTCATAAATATCTAGTACCCAAATATTGATACTCGGATTTGTAAATAATAATTTCTAATTATTTATCTTGTCATATTTTACTGAAATACAATAATTAATAAACACCAATATAAATTGTAAATATGATAAAACAAAATGTATATTTTTTTTCAAAATAATCAACTCGGTAACATCTTAACAGAATAATAATTCATATACTTAAATGAAAAATACAAATAGCATTCATCGATTTCAAATGTTCATACAAAATAATAAACTTAAAGAACTTAAAGAAACACTAACTCGGTTTTCTTACAGAATTTTTCTCATTTATTTTTAATTACATTTTTTTTTTCTGAAAGACATTAAAAATATTTGTTTGTATAAATGCAATAAATAAATTTCAATAAGTAAAAAAATAAAATAAAATAACATGAAAAATTTATGAAGGAAGTCAATCATTAATATAACTATATATATATATATACTTATATTAATGATTGACTATTATAACTCTATAGGTATATATATATATATATATATATATATACTTATATACAATTTATTTATTTATACTTAATTAATGTTTAATTATTTTTATTATTTTTTTTTTTTTTTTTTTACATTTATTGGCCAATTTATTTTAGCCTTTGAGTTTGATGTCCTGAAATAGTTAAAGAGGACATTTTTATTAAAAGAGGATTTTAGTTTACTGATAGATTAGTAAATATATTGAAGGAATTCTTAGGTACGGTGTTATAGGTTCGAAACGTACTAAGGACATCCAATAGGAATTGGTAAACTAATTGCCTGAAATGCTTCTAGTGGGTGAATGATGGACAGTTTTATTTGACCCCAAATGTAGATGCGATTTGACCAAACAGGTGTTATAATGGTTTTGTATGTGAGTATTTTGTTTTTAAGGCTATGTTTGAATTGTAAAATTGAGTGGAGAATCATTTTCATTATTATTACCTTATGTATGCATATTAAATAATATACTTTTGGCCCCTAAGACGTAATTACAAACAATTCATGTCCGGATCGGCACTGTAATAGTATGGGTTTTAACAATGTTCACGTTATTAACCATCGAGCCGGTTCTTATTTTAAAGTTACACACGTGGGTCCGCTGTGGTATTTACGCCGCATTCGTTTAGAGTCACTCTGGAAGCATTTGCATACTTGTGTACGTAAACCCAATAGTTTTTTCAATAGACATTATTAATACTACGTTAGTTTATAATAAAAAATTAAAAAATGATTGATCGTGTTTAAATTGAAGAATCACAAATACTGCCTATAGATGCAAAATATATTAATTCGTGTATACGTACGTCAATTTTTATTCATTTTTTTTCGCTGAAACAAAATTTATTGGCCATATGGATGTTGTGTGAATAAACAGGTGATATTACGGTTTTGTATGTAAATATTTTGTTTCTTAGGCTATGTTTGGATTTTATAATCGAGCAGAGAATATTTTTTGCGTTTAAATAACTATCATATCGTATTTATACACATTACATAATAATATTTCGGTCCCAATGACGTAATTACAGACAATGCGTGTCAGGACCAGCACTGTAATAACATAGTTCTATCAACGCTCACGTTATTAATTCATGTATACGTACGACAATTGTTATTAATTTTGAAACGAAATATAATATTGTATTGCATAATAAGTGCACGCACGCACTTCCACGTGTACCTGGAAATAATTTGTTATTATTATTGATTCAACAATTGATTATACATTATTAAATAAATTGTTTGTGTAATCAAACGGCGTTATACTGCGGTTATTTTATAGTAAACATATTTCAGAAAAACGTTCATTGTGGCCGGCAAAAATAAACAGGGTAATATTATTTTAACTTATTTCATTACCAGATGTGTTCAAAATTTGTATGTGAAAATAATAATGCAATTGAAACATGGAAAGGAAAAAATACAATTAGTAAATTATAGAGTGGATCATGGGAATTGGACCAAAAATAGATCGATATTTTTCAACGTAGAATGGGAATATAGACAGTAGAATAGGCTTGAATAAGCTCATTAAGCTCTGCTGAAAAATCTCTAAATCTCCAAGAATGACCGCTATACAGCCTCAAAGTGACAGTTTGTTGTGCAGTTTCAAAAAATGCACTATCGGTCCCTACTTCTTCGTGGAGCAGAAAAAAAAGGAACTGTCAACAGTACCCATTACATCGACACGATAAATAACTTTATGAAACCTAAATTTCGTAAAAGACGATGAACAACCAAACCAATTAATGATTCGTTTCAACGAGATGGGGTACCTCCTTACACTGCCATCACTAAAACGAATCTCGTTCGAAATATTTTTCTTGGCCTACTCATATCACGTTTTGAGGATATGCTTTAGACTCCTAGGTCATCTAACTTGACGATGTGTGATTTTATCTTTTGGGTATTGGCCCCATGCTTATGAATCGAGATCACACACCCTTGGACAAACTTAAAGATGCAATAAGTACAGAAATTGTATTAGTTAATGAATCCTTGCTTAAGGGCGTTCACTCAAAATTTTAGACCGCTTTCTTTATGCTACAAATAAAATGGACGTTATTGCTCGATATAATTTTTTTTAAACTAAAATGGCACTAACTTATTATTTAATTAATTATCAATAAACTAATTGTAAGTTTAAAACTCCCTAAGTTATATCTATTTGTTATGTTAATATATCAAAATCAAATAGTTTTTGCTCCCCCCTCCTTGAAAAATTAACTCAAGTACGCCACTGTGTGTAAGTGTATTTTTTTAGCTTTGAGTAATATTGGAATTTCTACACTTAATAGCTGTAATAAAATTGACAGTCATAGAAGGACAACCTCTGATTTTTATACTCTGAATTTATAATTTTTTTTTTTCGTTCAAACTGAAAACATGATTACACATAATTTACCATATAAAACTAATGAATGGTGTTAATTTTACGTCATCACTATTCATAATTATCTATGATTGATACTGAATTTGCACATTAGATACATCATAAGTCTGAACTATAGTCTAGACATTGATGGATTTATAGAGTTACACTGAGTTTAAATAAAAAGAGTAAAAAAAAAAAATATAGTAAAACGCAAATTCAATAAATTCTCTGATAGAGCATTTTTTAAACGATTCCCATGCTCTAAATACAAATACAACTATTTAATTATTGTACATGGTTATTATAGGATATATTATATACACATATATATAGGAACCCCCTATAAATTATACTAAATTAGCATAAGCGTTGACTAAATGTATTCTTTTTCTTCAGATTCCATTAATGGAAAACAAAATGAAATGGGACAAACCGAAGAAAAAGAATAAGAACTACCCCAGCATTGAAATCGAAATGAGTAGTACCAGTTACAGCGGTCACAACGAAAAAACCGCGGAAGAACCTTCTGTATCAATGTTTCCAGTGTGGTCTAGTAAACATAATGCCAATTCGTCATCACCAGGCCGTGGAATTAAGGAACAGAGTTTTATTTTACACAGTGGAGATTCTGGTATAGAGTCTGTGCAGGTATGAGATTTCTGTGGGTTTTAATACCCTTCAAGTATTCTATTGGCACCTATGTAATATATTGACAAATATGTTCGAAAAAAAAAAAGTAATAGTTTAAGTATTCGTGAACTGTAATTGTTAGAAACATTTGACAAATAATTCAACCACTTCTTTATTCAAATAGGTACAACTATTATTGTTCAAATTATTTTTCTACACATAACTATCCATAATTGTAATAGACCAAAAGAATGAAACATAATCACGTGGTCGCATTAATTTCAAATTAATATAAATTACATTGATATTTGTTAGCTTATTTTTAATGTGCCTCATAAATTATGTATATGAATATATAATTTATACATACGTTTGTGTGTGTGTTTGATTTATTCAGGCAAGTCCTGCTCAAAAAACTACCAAAGCCGGTTCGTCTACAATTGATCTTTATGACGTCCCGGGCCCGTCAACATCGAGACGATATAGTTCTGTATACTTGCAACCTGATCATGCACGGTTATATCCAATAGCCTCTTCTTCTCATGATCATGGTGCAGCTGAGGTATTTATTTGTTTTAGTATAAACTTAAAGCCTCATGGAAATATGATCATACCACTATTAAAGTCGAATGATAAAATCCAAAGCTATAATACATTGAAAACGATTAGAATGAAATGGTAACAAAAAATATTTATATTGTAAATATTTGTGTGCATTGTATAATTCATATTAGTCATTCATTGAGTTTTATGTTGAAAAAATATTATTATTTTTAACCAGTCAGTTAAATTTTTTAACTATAAAAATTCTATACAGTTAAACTTGCATAATATACGACGTTATTTATGTGTGAATGGATTATAATCAAATATATAATTGAATAATTATTCAATAATCTAATTATACTTTTCAGTAAAATATTTGAAATGTGCACACGCACACAATAGCTTATACATACTATTTTCCCAATTATTATATATGTGTAATAAAATAAGTAATAAGGATATGTGGTTTCATTAAAAACGTATCCATTAGCAAAACAGAATTTCGAAAAACTAATTATATTATTAATTAATTTTCATAAAATATGTCTAAAAAGTTTTATTTTTCTTCTCTCTTTATAATCATCTCTAATTGTCTGATCCGTCGAATAAATCAGACATGGGGCCGTCACATGTTATAAAAATAAATAAAAATAAAAATTTTTATTCAATATTAATTAATTTTATTTTATTTTTACTAGAACTGGCTGAACAAAGCCCAGAACAAAGATATGATTAGGTATTTACAATATATTGTAATAATAATAAACAAAAGTAAATAATTTAAAATAATAATTATATGAATAAAGATCGCAAAAATTATAATAAAAGACTAATAGTTTGATATTCTTAACCGTAAATTAGTTTATGTACAAATTAACATTGATTATTATTATATATATTATATTAATTATAATTTCATCAGAAAGTTATATCATTGGATATATCTTTCTATTTATTTCTTTCTTTTTTATTTCTCGTCTGTATAATTTATTTCTATTTGCTTATTTATTTATTGAGCACGTAGCACAGATTGTATGTATCCTTCTTTTAATAATAATAAAAATAAAAAAAAACTAGAATTCATTAAATTAATCGGAAAATTTAACATTCATTCTATAATAAAGATTTTTTGCACAACACCGGATAAGAACTCCGTTAACATTATTTATCAAAACATGTTTGTGCTGAATATCGGTAGATTTATACTATACATTTACTCGTTAAATTCTTTAATATTTATTATTATATTATTTTTAGTAATTAATAATTATTTTAGAATACTTATTATATGTTTATATACACTTTATGCAAGTACGAGTATGTTTATATAATTATAATTATAGTTATTCAATAATAAAAAAAAAATTCTTTGAAAATCGATCCTCTAAGGTGAAGTATATTTTTAGTAGATTAGGATCAAAAAAAGTTTGGCTAGCTCTGATTTATAGTGTTAAATGATTGGTTGTAATAACATGGGTTATCGAAAGTTCATAAATATCTTTGATAAATAAATGACTATATCATATAAAATTTAATTGATGACATTTAGACAATAATTTTATGGTTTAAATAAGTTTTATTTTTCGTTTAAATATATATTATTTCATTTTATTAAGTTCGTAGATTATTAATCAACGATGATGATCGAACACAAACATTATTTCTAAATAACAATAATTTATTAATCAAAACGTATTCATATCTTTAGTGGTAATCTCTTCCAGAGAAACCAACTCTAACAAATCATTCATATTGAATATAAATATAAATATACAATAAACATATAACAATGAAAATTATAAAAAATATATAAAAATATGAAATAAACGTAATAAAGTAATTACAACATTGACATAACTATTTCAGTTTGATATCGGCATACCGTATAGGTAAAAAAGTTACAGTAATGCATAATTAAAAATTAATTAAAGTTTCAGCTATTATGCTATTTCGCATTTAACCAAATTTTATTTTTACCTCAAAATTTAGCGTGTGTTTGTATTCTCTCTAATACGTAATTTGAAAAAGAACAATATGTACGAGTATTGTTTTCCTCACGTAAACGTATCAAACCATTCAATATTTATTGGGACATTCCTACTTTAATATCACTGGACTGAGTAATGAAAAGTAAAACTTTGGTTAATAGGCAGTCACTGATATTTATTTTGAGGAATGTAGTATAATGTGAAGTAGGTATACACTTGCGTAAAAAACTTTGCATTGTTTAACCTCTTGAATCATTAATGGATAAATTAATCATTTACAAATTCCTTACTTTGTGTATTTTGCTTTGTTTAGTACAGCACAGAATGATGAAAATTGAATTATATATTTATTACTATCTAAGTTAATTTCTTTTGTTTTCTTGCATATGTGATGGTTTGTGTGTGATACGTGATCATATTGTTGAATTTGGCAGCGTATACGTGGACGCAGTTACTAGACGTCCATGCAGTCGTTTGCATTGAACTAGATAAAAACAGATTTTCAAAACAACAGAAACAATAACTTTTTTCTTCAATAGCTTTCTGATCCATAAATAATTTGATAATAGAGTGATGTACCTATCTGTATTTTGTAAAATCAATATTTATGTGTAAACACAGTGATTTAATAATAACTATATTTCGTTAGAACATAAAACCGGATTGTATATAATTGTATTGTTGAAAATTTGCACTTAACTATTATGATTTCACCCTTAGACAACTTTTAAATGGCATAAGTAAAATAAGATCTATTACTTAATATTGTGTTGTTTTTTTTAAATATTTTTTATTTTTATTTTTATAATACAACAGTAAAATAAATAATATAATTATTAATTTTCCGCGTGTGATGATCCGACGTGTTTTTATTTGCATTGAAAATCATTTCCACAGTAGTCTCACACAATATGTAGTATAATATAATGATACATATACATGTATATAAAGTATTTATGTAGTACATGTATACATGGTTTATATTATAATGTAAAATAACAATATACAAAAGCACGATAATTATTATTAGTTTACCCCATTAACATTTTTCCGTAGATGTTTCAGAAATGTTTTCATTTTTTACGGCATGCTAACTTATTATAATATGTATATTTAGATATCAACATTAGCTGCAATACATAATGCTTATCAAAGTATACGTTTATAAGGAGCTTACATGAGTTGTTCAATGTAAAATTACACCAAATTAGTGACGGAACGATGATTCAACACACATCATATAAAATATTAATGTTGTAATTTATGAATAGAATGTATGCGTACCTATTGCCGCGATGGAAAAATGTTAAAAATACTGAATAAAACTGAATTATTGCGAATACGTGCCATTTCTGGCATGCCTATACCATATTTAACTCGTTTAATTTTCAAATAAACCGTCAGAATTGTTCTGGTATTATTAAATTGTTAATCCTGTAATCTAATTATTAAAATACGTGTTGATGGTGAAATAGCTTTGTCACTATTTTCATAATACCATTTAATTTTTATCACTCGTGTAGCATTTTACAGTTCGACGAATGACCATTGTGACAGCATATTAATTTCGTTTGAAACGTGCATAAAAGACCATTGTGTAATGCTTTGAAGGCATAAAAATATTTTATATTGATTCACTAAATACATTATTTAAAACAAATATAACCGATTAAGGTCTAAGAGTACAGCTACAGATATTAATCTACAAAAACATAAACATTTTTGCTCTCCAATTACCAAAAATCTAAGTATGTCTCAACAAAGCTAATTAATTCTACGTTTATAATATTTAATATTCGTTTTATCATGTTCAACTGTCACAATGCTATTATTTTATTTTAATCTGTTTATAAGTTTTCTATAATACTCATTGTCTTTCCCCTTTCGCCCAATAATTTCGTAAGCCAGCGCATGGCCGTATCCAGCCATTATTTTTGGGGGGGGTTTTCAATTTAAGATGAAACTAGAACATGATTTTTAGAATTTTAACCAATTCAAACCATATTAGTTTTTAGGTTTAAAAATGTACTTATATTATTTACCATATTATATAATATACATTCTGCTTTAATACTTACTACTCGTAAGGTATTTCAATTGACAATCACATTTTACATGTAAATATTTTTATAGTTATATAATTATAATTAGAGTAAGTATATTTAATAATTATTAAAACATGTAACTTACATTTTTTAATTTGACAATTTATAGGATTATTAATTTTAAAGTAACATTATTTTTCTTGATAATTTTGAAAACTGAGTAAGTACCTCTTCTGGATCAACATTGATGTCCCGGTGAACTGACATTAAAGCCAATCCATTGAGGCGTGTTTCACCAGTCGAATTTCTGAGATACGTTTTCAATCTTTTTAAAGATGAAAATGTTCTTTCTGGTGTCGCTGTTGACATAGGCATAGTAACTAAGACTTGTAGAAGTTTCCTTATGTTAGGAAATAAAAGAGGGTTACAATTGTCAAGTCCTGCAATTGCTGTTTTTGGGCGAGATCCTTCTTTTAGCCACTTTGTCTTCCATATTGTAAATTCAGCTTTGAAAGCATTAGGCTCAATCAATATCTGAGAATAAAAGTTTACACAGTCGTTTATTTCTTCATTGGTAGCGATTATACATTTACTTGGAATGATTTGTTGTAATGAACTTATTAAAGATTTGTGTTTCTGAAATCTATCACAAAGCTGTGATCTGATATAGTCGAGAAATGGCAAAAAAATATTAAAATTGTAATACTCTTCAGAGCTATGAGAGGGCACATTACTACGGTGTGTTTGTTTATTAGCGATACGAGGCAAAACAATGTCTTCTTTATTTTTATTCAACATGATGGCAACAACAGAAAACAGGTCTGAAAAATGTTGTTTGTTATTTTCTCTCATTTCGTCTAATACGGCTAACACATCATCAACATGATTGCATGCTTCGACTAAATCAGCATTAATTGTCTGTAGCTGTTTACACAATGTCAATGTATACGAAAAAATATTTTCAATTATTACGAGAGGTATAA